TAGTGACAGATTATTTCTCACTAAAATTTAATATATCTTTGTTTCTAATAAAATACAAAAATAAATTTAATATATTATAATAATAAAATATAATTTTATAGTTTTGATTACAAATTAATTTATGTACATTATATTATTGATATCAATTACTTTATTTTTTTATTAATTTTATATTATAAATATTGTAAAAAAATGATTTTAGTGACAAGTCACAGATATTATATATATATATATATATATATATATATATATATATATATATATATAAAGCTTAATATAATGAAAAAATAATAATTTTTAAAAATATTAATATTTAAGAGTAGTTTTTAAAAAAATGACTTAAAGAAGGATAAAAATGACTTTATAATTTTTTTTAAATGTGCTATATGGATTTTTTTTATATATCAAATATTTTTTTTAAAATTTGATTAGTTTATAATTTACTCAAATTTTTTTATCTTTTTTGTAATTATCTTTTTATTATAATTGATCATATAAATAATTAATATGAAATTATTCTAACCTAATTATTGATTTTGAGTTTAAGTATGTATATACTATTTCACTTGAGTGAAGTTGTATGAAAGATACCCGTATTTTTAAACTAAAAAAATAATTTTTAAACTTTGAAATACTGTTACAATGATTAATTTTTTAAATGCTACCAATTATGTTTGTTGACTAAATTATTTTTAACGATTTTATAATTTTTTTGAGTTTTGTTTTCAAATTAAAATGAGTCTTCATTAACTTGATTTTTAAAATAATTTATGCTTATAAAATTTAAATTCAACATATCTTCCACACAATGTTGATCATTCAATGTGAATATTTTGATTAATAAATGTGCAAAAGAAAAAAAAAAGTTTGAAACTTAATTTTAAAGATCCAAATAAATATAATTTTTACAGTCCAACTTAATAAAGCTTGGTATTCATGTAGGCTTTATGCGGGCTAGTGTGGGTCAGAGCTGCTCACAATTCTTTGTTTCTTTTCTTAAGTGGAAACAAAATAATTGCCAAGAAAAACAAAATGCAAACCAAATAAATTTGAATGTTACCTTTTACATTTAAATAATTGAGACAGCTTAGAGTATTTATTTTAGATTTATTAGATGGACTGATAAAAAAAATTTATTTCTAATATGTTGGATAGGTTAATGATATTAAGTTTTAATGGGTTATATTTTTTAAAAAATTTATTGGATTGAATGTTGTATGTTTAAAATATAGGTGTAACTAAATAAAATAATTTTTTTAGAAAAAAATACCATCATAAGCCCGCCCAAATAAAATTGAACTTGAATTACTATTTAAAAATTTTAAATAATTATACTTGTTTTTAATCCAGTACACACAAGCCTACATTTGCATCAAATTGGGCCAGCCAGGCCGAACTCTAATATTATTGCATGAGGGTGATTATTTAATTAATTAATGTAATTTGAGTTGCTCTTAAGTAATGATAAAAAAATTAAAGGAAAATTTTTCTATATTTTTTTTATGTTTTCCTTTATTTTTGTCATCAATTAATTTTTAAAAATTTTCATCAAATCTTAAAAAAGTTACTTTTTTTACTGCAAAAATAAATTTTAAAAAAATATTTTTATTATAAAATTCAAGAAAAATTTTCATTTTCTATAATCTTTTATATCATCCAATTTTTCAAAAAATATCAGTTTCTTTTTCTCATTTCTTAATTTTTTTTTATTTTTTTTATTTTCCTTTATTGTATTTGAATACAACATATTTAATATTGTATCTTTAATGTATAAAGTTTTAAGTAATGTTAAAATATCAAATCAAAATAAAGAAAGTTTTCCTTGTAATTTTTTTTATACACAATTTATAAAAGTGAGTTAAATTTAATAATAAATAAAAATGAGAGAGAGAGAGAGAGAGAGAGAGAGAGAGAGAGAGAGAGAGAGAATGAATAAGGCGCTTATTATTAAGTGATATGAGCTATGTAGTTCTAACTATTAATATTATACCATATAGATACATTCTATAATTCAAAAATAAATAAATCTTAAAAATTACTCCTCACAGTGACATTTGCTAGGCGAAGGGAGGGAAACTATCTTTTGTAAAGCTTCGATGACTGAACTTGAACAAAATTTTAGGGAACCTAATATCTTGTAAAATTTTAAAACAATGATGTCACAATAAAAAAATTTATATTTAGTAAAAGAGAATAAAAATTAAATTTCAAATGTGAAAGATTATTGAGAATAGTTTGTGAGGAAGTGAAAAAAAAAGCTATTTTATGTTTATAAATTTAAAACGTTCATAATAACTATAGTTCCTAAATTTTTAAAAAAATTAATCATACATGTTATAACTCTTAAGAATATATTTTATAAAAGAAATAATTTAGTTAAAAAACACAAGCTAATTTTTATTATAATATTTTAAGACTATATATCAATTAATTTACTTAAAGGAATAAACTCGTCAATTTATATACAAGTTTAACTCTATTTACTTATTTATAGGTTTATATATTTATTTTAAAAAGATTATTCTAAACGTGTATTTTTATATTAGACTAAGCTTTTAAAAAGAGTATATTAATTAAAATTTTATAAGTAATAAACCTTACAACATTATATTCAATAAATAAGTCAAATTCAGACTAGAGAATTAAAAAATAAGTTCAAGTCTTATAATGTCTAAGATAGTTAATTTAATTGATATTAAACAAAGGACAGTTAATTTAATTCATTTCTACTCCTATTGACAAGTACCTTGTGGTGACACTTTTTGGGTTATGGAATTTTGAATATCTGTGAGCTGAAGAAAACAGCGGGGGCCAGAGACGTTGATAGGTAGTAATCCATTTGTATGGGTCTCACCAGACTTTGTATGAAGTAACAGGAGAAGGAAGAAACAGTGAGATCGATGGCAATTAAAGTTTTTGTATATTTGGGTGACTATAGCATGCGGGTATTAATGATGTGACTCAGAATCGTGGTTGAAAACAAATAGGTGTTCATATAATTAACATAACACTGCTACTGCTCCTATATATATATATATATGCTTCTTGATCCCTTGGGTATTCAAGACGTGCAACTGATCAATCAGATAACTGAAAAGGATGGGAAAAAAATGAAAGGCAAAAACCGAATGAGCCTTAACATGCATGCAGGTAATATTGTGTCTCTCCTCTCATTCACTTCTCTTACATATCATTTTCATCCTACTTTTAATGGTTGCATGTGCATCTCAGTCTGCCTTTATTTGACTCTTAAATAAACCACACTATATTCAAGAAAGTTAGAATTTTAGAAATTTATGATAGAATGATACAGGTTATGATATTTCTCACCTAAGAGTAGACATCAACTTTAAAAACATTGCTTAATCACATAATTGAAATTCTTCTGGATTATGTATTTGGAAAAGGCTAATAATTTTTCTTGATTAGGCTTAGGTTGCTTTTTGTTAATAAAATCAAGTAGAGTGATATAAAATGATGCTACATTGTAATATTTTGATTGCTTGAAATAAATATTTGATGTAATGTATTTTATTTTATTTAGCTCAACGACTTGTCTTTTCTTTTTCTTCAATTAGAAATATTTGTATATAAAAAAAAATTACAATAACACATTTATTTCAACACATTTTTAATTATTAGATAAACTCTAATTAAGTATGACCAAATAATACACATTGATTAATAAGTCGTCCTCAAATTTTTTCATATAAATTTTACCCAACAACAAAAAAAAAATGTTAAAAATAATGTCCTAACAATTGCATTGTTGTATTCGTACTGAAATAATGGTCTTACTATTAAAGTTAATAAATAACAAATTTCAATTGTAAATACATTTATAGTATATTAAAAATTATCATAAAAGTGTATTAAAATTAACTTTTAATGACTTAAATATAAAAATAGTTCTTATATTTAAATTTTTTTTATTTTAATCTCTTTTATTGATATGATTCGTTAAAAGATTAATATATGTCAAATTTTTTTTAATCAATCTACATCAATCATAGGTATCAAAACAAAAATATTGTAAAAATAAAAGAACAAAAACTAAGTTGGGGTAAAAAAAAAAAACTTAAATGCTTACATATTTAAGTAATGCTTAATAAAACAAAAACAAAATGGAAGATAGGTAGAATAAAACTAAGGAAATGATGGGTATCCGAAAAAGAAGGGATTAAACTATGAGTGGTTTCAAAAGCAAGAAGGAGGCTATGATATAATGAGCAGAAGCAATTCGAACAAGAAGATAGTTGAGTTGGGAGGAAAAGTGCGACAAACTTGGGCTAACGTTTGGCAGTAAACTTGGTTTATAACCTTTATTTACAAGGAATGGAGTGTTACAATTTGGTAGCAGTATACTCGTGATTCTGAGGGAACAAGGTTTCGACTCATTCATGACAACCTGGCAAGGTCTGGTGGAGAGCCGAGATCGAGGCTGACAGATGAAGAAGACGTGCAACAGATGGCCGAAATGCTGTGGGATTGTCATGCGGCTTAGTTGTATCACAGCCAAAGTAAATATCTGTAACTTGTACGCAATTCATTTTCCTTAAACAATTCTCTTTTCTTTTATGTAAAATGTTAACACAGGAAGTTATGGCTAAAACACAGAAAGTGAGCTTTAAATATCTTTCATTAGCATTAAAGGCCTATATACGTTACCAACTAATAATATTTTTATTATTTTGTCTTATTAATAATATTTTCAAGTTAAATAATTTTTTTGTAAAGGAAAATTGGTTGGAGAGTAGAAATAGATATTGCAGCGGTAACAGAGGGAGGGTGAGAGTGGGTGGCATGGAAGGAGAAAAGGGCGCCCCCACATCCACGTACAAATTGGAAGCCACAAACAAATGCACAAAAGAACCACGTGGTCTTCTCTCACATGTCTGAGGTGGACCTCCATAGACACACCCTCAAAAAAAATGAAATTAAAAAATAAAAATAACTCATTGTTCTTTTAATTCACCTCGCCCGCACTATTTATACCCCCCAAAACTCTTTTTCACTTTCAATCTCTTTCTTTCATTGTCTTCTTGAAAAAAAAGAAACGAATCAAAGCACTACACTCCATCCCTCCCTCCCCTTGAGAACACCAAAATCTCCATGATCATGGCACCTTCCTCAGCAGCACTAAACTCTAGTACTTGGGCTAAACCTCACCCTTTATCATCGTCTTCATCTTCATTAATCGATTTGGGCTTCACCACAAAGTCCACCATGGGATTGGGATTGAAGAAGAAGCCCATTAAAAAGATAGATTGTGCTCTACACTCTCCCTCGGTATTCCATTTTCCAAAAGAACCCTACAACAAACCCCTAATTACCGAAGAAAACAGCGTCCCTGCAAAGCCTCAGTGGAACCCATTCCAAAAAGCCGCAGCAAAGGCCCTCGACATGTTCGAGAGCGCGTTGCTCGCACGCGAGTACCAGCAACCGCTCCCTAAAACCGCGGACCCACGTGTTCAAATCGCCGGAAACTTCGCTCCCGTTCCGGAACAACCCGTAATTCACTCCCTCCCCGTCACCGGCACAATCCCCAATTGCGTAAACGGCGTCTACCTCCGTAACGGCGCCAACCCAATGTTCGAACCCATAGCGGGACACCATCTCTTCGACGGCGACGGCATGGTTCACGCCGTCACCATCAATGACGGCGCCGCTAGCTACGCGTGCCGCTTCACCGAAACAGAGAGGCTCGTTCAAGAGCGAGAACTCGGAAGACCAATGTTCCCCAAAGCCATCGGCGAACTCCACGGCCATTCCGGCATCGCCAAACTGCTCCTCTTTTACGCCAGGGGCTTGTTCGGCATCGTTGACCACCGTCGCGGCGTCGGCGTTGCCAACGCCGGCCTCGTCTACTTCAACGGCAAACTCCTCGCCATGTCCGAAGACGACCTCCCCTACGAGCTCCGAATCACTCCCTCCGGCGACCTCCGAACAATTGGCCGTTACAGCTTCCAAAACCAACTCAATTCCAGCATGATCGCGCACCCTAAAATCGACCCTGTCTCCGGCGAGCTCTTCGCCCTCAGCTACGACGTCACCAGGCCCAATCTCAACTACTTCCGCTTCTCGCCGGAAGGGAAAAAGTCGCCGGACGTCGAAATACACCTTGACGTTCCGACGATGACGCACGACTTCGCGATCACCGAGAATTTCGTGGTGATCCCCGATCAGCAGGTGGTGTTCAAGCTGGGAGAGATGATGAAGGGAGGGTCGCCGGTGATGTACGACGGCGAGAAAAAATCGAGGTTCGGCGTTCTCCCGAAGTACGCTACGGACGCGTCGAGCATCGTGTGGGTTGAGTCGCCGGACACGTTCTGCTTCCATCTCTGGAACGCTTGGGAGGAACCCGAAACCGATGAGGTGGTGGTGATCGGGTCCTGCATGACGCCGCCGGATTCGATCTTCAACGAGAGCGACGAGAGTCTTAGGAGCGTGTTGACGGAGATAAGGCTGAACGTCAGGAGCCGTGAGTCCACGCGCCGAAGCCTGATTCCTCAAGTGAACCTGGAGGCAGGGATGGTGAACCGGAACCGGCTTGGTAGAAAAACCCGGTTCGCATACTTAGCCGTTGCAGAACCGTGGCCGAAGGTGTGTGGTTTCGCGAAGGTGGACCTTTTGAGTGGAGAAATGAAACAGCACAATTATGGAGATACAAGGTTCGGTGGAGAACCGTTCTTTTTGCCGAGAGGTGACGGAGATGAATACGAAGAAGATGAAGGGTACATTATGGCGTTGGTGCATGATGAGAGAACGTGGAAATCAGAGTTACAGATTGTCAACGCCGTGGACTTGAAATTGGAAGCCACCGTGGAACTCCCATCGCGAGTGCCTTATGGTTTTCATGGTACTTTTGTGCAAGCTAGCGCTATGAAATGACCCACAATTGCATGTCTTGTTCAGTTTTTATTTTATTCGGTAAAGAGGGATATCAGAAAAAGGATAATTTGACCAGAGGGATGGCCAGTAGACAGGTCCCCGGGTTCTTCTCAACAAAGATTTTGTTGGTATTAATATTATTAATAGGTTCTGTGCTTTTATTTATTGGTATTACCATCTAGAGAGTGAGAGAGAGTGAGTGAGTGAGTGTGCATATGCTTCCAGTTTCAGAAATCAGCTTGTAGCTTTGGACTCTGTATGTAGATGGAGCTCAGCTGCTTTCTGTTTCTCTTTTTCTTTCTATATTTACAGTTATGTTTGCCTTTCCCTCGTTAACTCTTCTCTTCGCTTTTATTCATTTCTGAGAACTCTTTTTTGTTTAAACGAGCTGCTAAATTATTTGATGTGCAGTGTGTAGTGATCCAATGACAAATATTGTTTTTTCTTTAAACTCATGTTTGACATTAATTTTATAATTAATATAATACCACTGATTAATTAGACCAACATTAGGATTGATAAATAGAAAATATTGTAAAAGAACCGCACGGTCAAAGCCTTGTAGCCCACTTGTTAAGTGACCCGATTGCATCACCAGACGGGGACCCATTTACGTCACGCCACACAATGTTTACTTATGTATTAAAAACATCAAAATGTTAATAACATTATTTTAATATGCTATCTCAAACATAATTTTTATCATTAATTATTTTCTAAAATTTAATAATTATCTTTTATAGATAATCGACCTTTGTATTATAAATCAGAATTCGTCTCTTTCACATTTTGTCATGTACATTTAGAATTTGTCATATGCACATTTTGAAATTTTAAAACTTTTTCTTAATTTTTTATTATTAGCTTATAAATTTTTTATTTTTTTTATTTCAAATTTATGGTTATTAATATATAATTATTATTAATATTTAATTAAAATTTAACCTTATATGATAAAAAATAATATGAAATAAATTATATTTAAAAAATATTTTATTAATTTTTTATTATTTTGATGCATATTATTTATAGTTATAAAGTTAAATCAAAATAGTGTTTAAAAATATCATTTAATATAATTTTATTATATATTTAATTATTTATAAAATATATAATTTAATATTTAATTATATATATATATTTATTATACTACGCAGGCTACTAAACTAATAAATAAATAAAAAGTGTTAAAAATGCGTACTAAAAACATTCAACTCAATTAATTATACCATGACTTTATGCAAAAATAAATAAAAATTATTAATGAGGTTACAATGGTTCAATAAGTTGAAACAAAGAGAGGTTAAATTTAACTTTTTATTTTTAAAATGTGCTATATAATTTATAAATAAAACAGTTTTGCGTAATTTATTCGTTAGACTTCTATTTACCTTGTCTGTTTGGTATTTACATGTTTAAAAAATAATTGAGAAACTAGTAATGTTTATAAAAATAAAAATAAAAATTAACACTTAATGAATAAAATTAACCTAAAACTAGTTGAGAAATTCCAAGACGAAATTTAAAAATTTATGAGAAATAAAAAATAAAGGGTAAAAAACACAAGTTAATCATTAAAAAACCGCAAGGAATTTCACACGAAATAATTACTAAAACTCTATGAAACATTTGAAAAAAGGAACAGCTTAGACTATAGATATAATAAATGTCCATCTCATCTTCTATATCAAAAAGAAAACGCCCCTATTTGAAGACTATTTATCACTCAATTTAAATATCATACTAATTTTAATTCAACATGATAAAAAGCATTTTAATCTGAATCATTCAGTATTTTTTTTCATATTTATTTATATAAATATTATTTAAAATAATATATTAACCTATTGATATTATTAAATAACTGATTTTTAATCATAATAATATGATTTTAATAATTATTTATCAAAATAATATTATTTAAAAATTAATTACAAAAATTTAATTCAACATTACTTAAAAAATATTTGACAAAAGTAAAGGACATTAATTTTAATTTAAACTTTAATTAAAGTAAGAGGGAAACTAAAATTTTAATTTTAATTCAAAATTTAATTAATGTAAATAAAATCAAATTTTAAATTTAAATTAATATAAAATAAAACTAAAATTTGAATTTAAATTTTAAAACTCAGTCAAAACGAGAGAAAAAAATTAAATTTAAAACTTAAAACTTAAATGTAAATTCTAACACTGAGAGGTAGAACTTATTATTATTGTGTTATCTATTTTAATATTTAATTTTTGAATGATATTATTTTTAAAAAAGTTAAAAGAAATTAAATTATTTGGATAGAAAAAATCTTAAATAGCACACTACACATTTTGCCTTTTGCGCCTTTTATTTAATCGTTTTACTTTTTCTTAAAGAACTAGCTACTTTCAACGATTTGTTTGTCTTTAATGACTACTTCAATGTAAAGATATTGATTTTGATGTTCACTTTCATTAACTTATAAGGAATGATTATTTTGTTTTTATTGAGGGTAGAAGGGGAAAATATAATAATATATTATAAATAGCGTGGTTCAATTTAATTTGATTCAATTTTTAAAATAATATAAAGGGTGTACACAAAAACTAAGATGGCAAATGATATATGATTTTTTTACACTTGCATTTCGTTTTATGCATAAAATCACCACTCTTTCAAGCTTTAAAGAAAATAAAATTAATCACTAAATTTGTAAACACAAAAAATTTATAGAAACCATTTTTTAAAATTGCCTAACCTGTGATGTAAGACAAAAAAACCATTGTGCTATTACCATAAGGAGATAAATAATATTTTAGTTCCTAAATAAAATTCATTTTTATAATTAGTTTATATAGATAAAACATTTATATATCAATTTATTTACAAAGATTTATTTTTTAATTTTATATTTGTAATTATGACACTTTATAACAATATTAGTTTTCTCTAGATTTAATGTGATAAATTTAAACTATTTTTTAGTCTTCATATAAAACTCTTTTTTTATAATTTAGTTTTTATAAATAAAAAATTTAGTCCCAATAAAAAAATTATTTTTAATTTTATTTCTATTATTATGGTGATAATTTCATTTCAAGTAACATTTTTTCATCATCTTAAGAAGAGTATTTAAAATTCTTCAAATAGACCTTGTATTTTTTTATATTTCTTTTATATCTAACTTCATATCTTAATTCATCTTTAACTGAACATTACATCTAAGTATTTTCATGTTCAATATCACTATTTATATGCTCATATGTATCTAATCATAATTATCATTCATTCTCCTATTATCCTTATTCAATATCTTGAATCTCAACTATATCTCTTTGAGTCATACTTAAAGTCAAAAAATTTCTTCCTTTGTATCTTTAATACATTTGTAAGAAAATTATAATTGTTTTTTAAATTACCATTATTATCATTATTTTTATTTATTTTTGTAATTACATATTCATTATCTTAAAAAATATAATAATAGAATAAAGATGATAGGAGAAAGTTTTAGGATTATTATGGAAATATGATGAGCTAATCAAGTAGTGATATTTAAAATAAAAATACTAAATGTAATATTTATGTAAACTCAAATCAATACATAAAGCTTTCTTAGAATACTTCTTATATGAATTTAATTAAAATGAAGAAACATTAATATATACAATGAAGGTTGATGTCATGAATTGAAAATATATAAAATAAAATATAAAACTTCTTTAGAAGTTTCAGAATATTCCTTTAAAAATGATGGACTAAATTACAAAAAATATTTTTGTATAGAATATAAGATAGAGAACTAATATTTTTATAATGTAGTATAATGATAGAGAGAAAAATTAATAATAAATTTATGTACAAAAATTAATATACAAATATTTTTCACTTACAAAAAAAAGTTTGTCTAAAACTAAAATATCATTTATCTTTAAGATAAGCTATTATAGGTGATACATTAGAGAGGATTGGGGCAAATAGATTCAAGAAGAAGAATTTTAAGTTAACTTAAGATAGAAAAACATGATGGTGTATAAGTAAATAAGAAAGATTATGCTTCCAATAAATTGCAAAAGGTATAATTTTTATATTCACGGAGTTATCAAACTTCAAAGTCTTCGAGTTTTTAAATTTATTTAAGTCTAATAAGAGGTGTCTTTTTTGTAACTTTTTTAATAAATATAAGTTTAGAAGTACAAGACCATGACACTTTATTATATAAAAAAACCTAATCAAGTCTAAAACTCAAGTGGCATGAAAATTTTAAAATATTAATTCTCTCTCTTCCAAGAAAGAAAAAGTAAGAAGACCACCAAACCCTACATATGAGTATTTTAATTATCTTCGGTTTATTGATTAATAAGAAATGTTTTACCAAAGCTTTTTTGTATATCCCATGCATGGAAGTACTTGAAGAAAGTTGCAGAACCACAAGGTCGTCAATATCGTTTGTCGGTTTGTTCGAATTAGGTGAATTTTATTTGTCAATATTTCCTTACTTTAGGCGTAATATTCACCACAGAAAAAGTCTGTGTTTCAAAAGCATCAAAAAATGTTTGTCAAAATAAAAAGCAAAAAACATAAGAAAACGTGACTTTGACAATAATGAGAGAGCATGAGCAATAGGAAAATGGTGGCAAATAATGTATTAATATGAATATTATAATTTGTTTTGTCTAAGTTTATTGTAATTGAAATAATATAAATTTTCATTTTGCCGAAGAAGCAATATTGGCCATAACTTTGCAAAAGGTTTATTAAGACGTATTGAAAGTTACATGTCTAAAGAAAGAAGAAAATGGGGACAAAAAGTCCCACTAGCCTTTATCGTAGGTTTGTTGTCAAAGAAAGTCGTCTTTCTTCTACTGCAACCTAAAAGACCACTTCAGTGATGGAGCCCCAAAAAGCCAATTTTTCACTTGTTGTTATTCTTTGTGCTTTTCCTTGATCCTTTTTATGACACGTTGATTTTGATTGGATGCTTCTCACTTACCATTTCTCTCTGCATCCACTTTTAATTTCCACG